TGTGTGTGTGTGTGTGTGTGTGTGTGTGTGTGTGTGTGTTGCTCTTTGCTAAATATCATAGCTTTGAGACTGCCACTGGCCAGCTGCAGAAGCCCATTCAAACTTCTATACCCTGGGATCAGAAGTGTGTATTGAACCCTCAAAACCTAACCACATATTGTTTTTTCACAATGTTCCTAGGCAAGCTGATCAGGGGAAGGAATGCCATAAAAATATTTTACCCAGATTTTGTGAAAGCATTTGATAAATTCTTCAGTGCTATTCTTGTGCACAAAATGGAGAGATATAAGGTAGCTGGTGGTACAGTTGGGTGAATTCAGAACTGGTTTAGTGGCTGGACCCACAAAATAGTTGTTAGAAGTTCTTTGTCAGCCTTCAAGAAGATCTTAAGTGAAATGTTCCAGGTATTTGTTCTTGGCCTGTTCTGTTAAACATTTTTGTCAGGGACTTGGGTAAAGCTGTCCCTAGTCTTGCTTATCATATTTGCAGATGAGACAGTGCTGGATGGGATAATTAACACACAGTATAACAGAATCAAGATCCAAAAAAATCATAATTGTTTGGAACATGTTGTGAAATTTAATAGTGATAAATGGAGGACTTACCCTTGGGTTCCAAAAATCCACTTCAGAAATGCAAGGTGGGCAGATAAATGACTTGTTAGCAGCTTGTTTGAAAAAGATCTGGAGGTTTTAGTGTACTTCAGCTGCATGGAGTCACCAGTGTGATATGTCAGCTAATTCTGTTGTGGGCTTCATTGAAAGAGAAATAAATGTCCAAGACTAGAGAGAAGTTAGTGCTTTTATGTTCTGATCTGGTTGACACATTTGGGCTATTGTGTTCAGTTGTGCGTTTGAGGAAGGACATTAATAAGCTGGCAGACTTCTAGAGGAGGGTGCCAGGATGCAGAAGGCCCCAAGATCATGTCATATATGGATTCAGCTAAAGGAAGTGAGGCTGTTTAGCCTGGTGAAGAAAAAACCTGGAGGAAGGGGCATGATAGATATATGTATGTATTTAAAGGCTATTACGTGGAAGGGGGATAATATTTGTTTTGCCTCACCCCTGAGGTCAGAAGTTAGGAATAATAGGTAGAATTTCCAAAATGCCAAATTTAGGCTTGATGTCAGAAAGTTTCCTAATAATTCAAGCTATCCCAGAGTGAAATGGACTGCCTTGGGAGTAAAGGGTTTCCCCTCTTTGAAGGGCTTCAGGCAATACTTGTCAGGTATATTGTAGCAGGGGTTTTTGTTTAGATATGTCATGGACGACATGATCTCCGAGGTTCCTCTGAATGCTGAGATTTGGTGATATGCCAATTAAAAAAATGAAATAAGGATCATTTGTAATTTTGGGCTAATTTCAGCTCATTTGGTGACACAACCTCACCGTGTTGTAACAGTAACCCTTATTCTATTTTTTGGCAAAGCAGTTGGGATTAAGTGACTTGCCAGGAGTCATGAAGTACTGAGTGTCAAAAGCCCGATTTGAACTCAGGTCCTCCTGACTCCAGGACTGGTGCTCTATTCACTACACCACCTGGCTGCACATCATATTCCCCCCCCCCCCTTTATTCTTTTAATTGAGATTCTTTCCTTTCAAGTTTTAGGTTGGAATTAGTGCTTTGGTTTGCACAGACAGTAGCTAGCTATTGGCTTCAGACTGAATAGGGTATATCCAGGTCCTGATTGGTCCTGGCTAAATCAGGCCCAGCAAAGTTGGAAAAGTGGTAGTGATATGAATGCCCATAGCCCAAGACTTAAGTGAATTAGTCCAACTCTCACTCTAGCCCCGTCTTTGCTTTGAACTATCCCTAAGCCATCTGCTGTTGTCTCCCCTTTATTTTTTGATGTTCTACCCTCTTTTCCTCCAGTACCATTCAGTTCTGTTGCTGTCAGCCGCCTTCTACTTTCCAGCATTTGGGTGGACCTTTATCTATCAATCTGTCATTGTAGTCTTGCCTCCGTGTCTTCTTGGTTACCCACTCTCTTACAAACAGCCTTCATTGAACGACTCTAGCATATCCAAACCCTTTCCTTTCTTTCATGTGGCTAAACCTTGTCTATTTACCTCGGAGAAAATTATACATTTTTCTGGCTCTTTCTTGTGATAACATGGATTTTCTTTCCTATCACTCATGGTTCCACAGTATTTCCTTTATGTCTGTTGGTGAGATTAATATAGTCACTCCTATTCTGACTCTTGATGTTTAAAAAAAATTAGGATACCAATATGTACAAATCATGATTGACTCTTAGGACCCTCAACATGAGAAAACTCCAGTTTAAGCTGTATCTTAATGTAAGTATAAAATTTCATGAAGTAACTAGTTAACCTTTTCTGTTTCAATTTCAGTTATGCTAAAGGAGATTTGGATATTTCATACATCACATCCAGAATTGCTGGTATGTTTGCCAAAGATTCATACTTATTATCTAATAGCACTATCACCACCCTCATCCTTTACCCTTCCCAACTATTGGTTAACAAATATTTTTTGAAACATCCACAAAAGCCCTTTATGTCTTCTAATGCCCTGCACATAGTCCGTACTCAGTTAATGTTTGTAGAATTCAAAGAAGTCTTATTTATTGAACTTAATAGGTGAAGAAGTTTGGAGTCCCTGGCTTATAAGGCTAGACTTTTGGAGTAGTCTAATCTTGTCCTATTCCTTAATACAGCTAGCTGACAAGAAACAGGGCATCTGGTCAACTGAGAAATGCTCCTAGTTCTCTTTGGGGATTTGTGGCAGTGGGCATGGGATGTGGTGAATCTTTGGGAAGTTGGCCTCTGGCTTCCATCAGTCTTTGGTGTCAGCGGAGTTTACGTGATATCAGGGTTAGGTGGAGTCATACTAGCACTCTATCACCAATAGGGATCTTTCCACAACTTTGAGACTATGATGGAAGGAATAAATAATTGATATTGATTGTTTATCGTACTAATTGGGCTCAGAGAAACCATTATTGATATGTTTAAAATTTGTGTAACCCAGTAAAAGTTTTAGAAAAGTTTCTGCTAAGGCTCTCAAATTCTCCTGTATTTTCTGTGACTCTTCCACTAGCACTAATACCTTTCCCGTTACTGGGAACTTCTTATACATCCTGAGACCTCATTGTAGCACCTTGTAATGGTGATGCTTTTCTCAGCTGGTGAGCATAAGACACAGTTTCACTTCATCTCAATCCACCATTCTTATAAAGTCTCTCAGAATGAGAGTATTTGAAGTTAAAAAGCATATCTCTCCATCTCACTCACTTCCTCTACCTTTCTGTTGTAATTGACTTTTAGAGCAGGAAGAATTCTTAGAGATTATCCATCCAAATCCCTTTTCTTACAGAGAAGGAACCCAAGACCTAGATGAGATGAGTAGTGACTTGCTCAAAACCACCCAGCTAATAGAGGGAGGTGTTAAGGGAAGGGAACATTCAGAAAGGGCTGAGGGAGTGATAGAGCTGGAACATAGCTTTGCCACTCCTGTTTTCTCTTTTCCAGGTCTAAGCCTAATGATATCTTTGGTGGGTTCCCTAACCCCTAACTGTGCTTCTGACAACACATGACAGCAGAGGAAGACCAGGGCTAAATATAATGGGAACACAGACATTAAGGGCCAATGGCGTTAAGTACTGTCTGTGAGTCCTGCACATGCATGCACATGTGGCCTAGAATGGAGGCAGGAAAGGGAAAGCACAGACTGAAGGGTAGCATGCTGGAATATGTTATCAGACATTTGACAGCATAATGCCCAGTCCTGCCAAGGTTGAGTCCCCTTCTTTCATGAGGGAATCCCTTGATACTAGTATAGATGCTCTTGAGACAGTGTGTAATCTCCTAGAAAATATGAATATTTAAAATCCATAGTCCAAAAACCTTATTTTTTTCCTAGTAGCTTCACCTTTCTTATTCATCTTTTCCCTGTCCTGTGTCTTATTGATAGGTAATGACCATGTGAACACATAGCAGAATGATCTGTTTAGTGTTTCCACCTCTTTTCTGAGCACCTCTAATATCATTGCTAATAAGCTCAGACATCCCCCATGCTGGAGAGTTGAAGAAGACTGAGAAGCAGCAGGCCTGAAATGTCTGGGAGCTGCACAGTTGAGGACTGACCCTGGCTGCCCCTTATTGGCCACACAGAAATCTTTCCTTTGGGCTCTTGTCTCTCACGCTGAGGAAGAGCAGGCCATGGATGGGCTGCCTCCTTCTGTTTGCATCCGCTGTGTGGTACATACCACTTGCTTTGCTACAAGACACGCTTGTTCTTTGAGGTTTTGTCATTCTCTAGCTGACCTGTGCTCTACCACCAGGCCTTGAAGACGTGTTTCATCAGGGTGTCTGATCAGTATGTGAATGCCTGATACAGTAATCCTCTCATTTCAGTGATGTCCTTTCCAGCAGAAGGTGTAGAATCAGCTCTCAAAAATAACATAGAAGATGTGCGGTTGTTTTTAGACTCTAAGCATCCTGGACATTATGCTGTTTACAATCTTTCTCCACGAACATACAGGCCTTCCAGATTTCATAATCGGGTAAGTGTCAGATTTTTATTTTTATTGTCACTTCAACCCTGCTGCAGATTAGAGTGTACAGTGTGGTCATTGGTAAATAAATATTGTTTTGTCTTGGAAGCAGCTTTCATTTGATTTTCTGTATGCTTTTCTCATTTCAACCAGTAAAAGTTAGCTTTCATCTTAAATTTAACTTTGAAATTCAGTAGAAGTCTGACGTGGCAACAAGAAAAATAGTGTGCTAGAGGTGGGATATTCAGAGTGAGTGGCCTGGGAAGGCAGGAATAAAGAAAGCATGTGCCCAGCATGTGCTTTGCCTGCTCAGTCTTAAAAGCGGAGAGAGTTGTTGGAACTCTTCAGCATGTAAGGAGGAGGCTTCGCCCTGGCACGGGATGTCTGGAAGGGAATACTCTTCTTGTTCCTTTTAATCTCTTCTGTTATCTTCCTACATCTCCCCACATTGCTCCCTTTCCTTCTTTCAATTCAAGTCAGTTTACCAAGTATTTCTTGAGTAGACCTACCATTCTCACTTCCCTTTTTTGACTCTGCACCACTTCACATGTCGTTTTACTTTGTATTCTTCATATTCATCAATTTTTTTAAAAAAAGATTTTCAGTATATAGACTTATTGCCCATATCAATAAAAATCACAGACAAGAGAATGCACTTTGGTCTACATTACTTACAGTAAAAAGGGCTGATTTATGTAGAATTTTTTTCTAACTTAACTCATTTGGATCCTTCTACTCTAAATAGGATACAAATCGCTGAATAGTCATCATTTTTTATGGGGCACCAATATGCTGTTACATTTCTATATCATGGTTTAGTTAGCTATTCCTCGATTGTTGGGCACATATTTTTTGCTCCCTCTTTTCTCCTCAAACCTTTACCTCTTTCACTCTCTCTCAGATGTGGAAACTGAGGCTATCCAATGTGAGCTGTTCCCTCTTCTTCCCCTCTTTTCATCTAAAAACCCTGTGACATCATCTTCCATTCTCTGCTCTTTTTCCCCAGTCTCTTACAGTGAAATGGCCTTTCTTGCCAAGGCCAACCCTTTTACTTGTGATCTTTATCCTTGGTGGTCTTGTTTAAGATCTCTACCTCCATGTACCCCCTTTGATGCTATCTCCCTGAACTTTAGTCCCACATCACAAAATGTCCTAGAGACATTTCAGGCTCAACATGTATAAAACTGAACTCATCATCTTTCCCCAAAACCCACCCCTTTTCTAAGCTTTCCTGTTTCTGTCTGAAGAACCACCATACTTTGAGTCTGCCAGGTTGGTAACCTTGACCTTATCCAGGGCTCCTCACTCTCGCTCATCCCAGTAGCCAGAGTGTCCCCATCCTTCTCTCTGCTCGTAGAGCTACTGCCTTGATTCAGGTTCTCATCATTTCGTGCCTAGATCATTGTAATCCCTAATTGGTTTCTGGCTCCTGACTCTGTCTCCTCACCTCAATCTCCTCTCCACATTGATACCAAAGTGATTTTCCTTAAATGTAGATCTGACCATGTCACCTCCTGCTCAGTCAAGTTTAGCAACTTAGAATCTAGTCCTCTGTTTCAGTTTTATAGCCTTTCACAATCTTGCTTCAAGCTGTCCTTCTAACTTTATTGCCTATTACTCCTCCCCCCCATGCTCTGTAGTCCAGGTAAACGTCTTTCTGTTCCTCACACATGACATGCAGTTTCCCGTCTCCATGCCTTCATACTAGCGGTCTTCCCATGCCTTAGAATGTATTCCTTCCTCACCTTACCTTACAGAATCCCACTCTTTCTTCAGGGTGCATCTCAAACATTGCTTTTACGTGAAGCCTTTCCTTATTCCCTCAACTGCTAGTGCGCTCCCTCTTAAACTACTTTGTATTTATTTTGCATATCATTATATATGTTCTTGTTATCTCCCGTTACAATGTAAACACCTTAGGAATAGGGATTATTGCGTTTGTATGTATGTGTCCCTGTTGTCTAGCACAGTACCTAGTATTTTGTTGTTGTTGTTGTTGTTTTTCAGTGTTTTTCAATCATGTCCAACTCTCCATGACCCCATTTGGGATTTTTTTGGCAAAGATGCTGGAGTGGTTTGCCATTTTCTTTCCTAGCTCATTTTACACATAAGGAAAGTGAGGCAAACAGAGTTAAGTAACTTGTCCAGGGTCACACAGCTAGGAAGTATCTGAGGCCAAATTAGAATTCAGGGAGATGAGCCACCTAGCTGCTTCCAGGGTAAACAAAGGTTAATTACTTGCCCAGGATCATGCAGCTACTAAGTGTCTGAGACTGGATTTGAACTCAGGTCTTCCTGACTCTAGGTCCAATGCTCTATCCACTGAGCCACCTAACTGCCTCCTCCTAGTACATAATAGGTGCTTAATAATTGATTTCTTTTTTTTTTTATAACTATTTATTATATTATTGCTCTGAATATTTTTGTACCAGCGGACCTTTTCCTCTTCTTAGGGCAGGGGTTCTTAACTTGAGGTGTGTGAACTTGTTTTTTAAATACTTTAATATCTGTATTTCAGTATTAATGATTTCCTTTGTAATGCTAAACATTTTATGTATTTAAAAACATAATTCCGAGAAAGCAACTATAGGCTTTGTAGACACCAAAGGAGTCCATGGCACACTAAAAACATGAAGACCTTCTGCCTTAGGGTATAAGGTTATAAACCTCAATTAGGATTGTTGGGTCAGAGGATGTGGATATTTCTCTTCTCTCTTCTCAAAATTGTTTCCCCAAACAGTTGAACAAATTCAGAACTTTACTAACAATGAAATTAACTTGCCTGTTTTTCCATTTCCCTGTCAGCATTAAATTTTGTCATCTTAATAAAAATTTTTTATGGTATACAGATTTTTTTTCTGTGTACATTGATTTTTATATTTGCAAAAATTGATAATAGGGAAAATTAAAAATGACGAAAAACGGCTTTGATGATATGAAAAGCTTCTGATTACTCTTAACTGAGTCTTCTCCAACATTTCCCCTTTAGGTTTCAGAATGTGGTTGGCCAGCAAGACGTGCACCAAACCTTCAAAACCTTTATAACATCTGCAGGAATATGCATTTATGGCTAAAACAAGATCACAAAAATGTTTGCATTGTGCACTGCATTGTAAGTCGGAGTCTAACTATATCTTTAAATTTTTCAAGTCCATTTCTGATTGTACAGAGATAGTCTGATTCAGAACGTAGTCAATGGGAGGATGATTAAGTGACCTTTTCTTTGAGGGATTTTAGGAAAGGTAGTAGAGAACCATTTCCTTAGGATCAAGTGGACTCTGTTTCAGCCTGGTTTTAGGTTTGAGGGTAGAGTAGAAGCTGGCTGCATTTGTTGATATAAGACCCTTGCTAAGAGATGTGTAACTACAGAAATGTGCTGATTCTTTTTAGGTCTTTTGGTAGCCATTTGCCATGAGGTGATTTTTTAGTCACTGCTTCCTATCCTTGGTGAGACCCTGAAAATGATTGGGAGTAGTTACTTCCAGAGTCGTTGCTCCAAAGTATTATTTGTGGAGTAGTATTTGTGTTGTATTTTTCTCTGAAGAAGGTCCAGAAAACTTCTGACTTTAAAATATAGCTCTACAAATTGAGAAATAGGGTGGGCAATAGGATAGGGAAACTGTGGCCCTAAACCCTGGTAAAAGTAGTCCTCAGCAAAAACCTGGGATAGACACAAGGCACACCATCTCTTTTTAACCTTCAGTATAATTGTGATGGTTTTGTGTGCAGATGTATACTTTTACCCACCTAAAATATATGGCATACATTTACATAAAGGATATATGCATGTATATTGGTGCCAGAATTTTTATGCCAACTTCATCTATATTTGTTTACATTTTTATTACTTTATCTGATTTATTATTTTGCAATAGAAACACCAAATAATTATTTCTAGAAGGCCCTCGTTCCATTGTGCACGTATAGCTAAGGAACTAAAGGGCAAGTCCTAAAGAATTGCTGTATCTCTTTTCCTATGAGTGTATTAGTGCAAAACAGACTAGTTAATTTTCACCTTGGAAGGCAGAGGAGAATGATCCTGAAGTATCATATGCAGCACAGGACAGAACAGAGGGAGAATAGGAAAAGGTAGTATGAAGTCCTAGGAGTGAGGAAGTCAAGTTTCCCAAATGTGATGACTAAAGAAAAGAGGCTAAAGTAGATTGTCATTCCCCACCCACCCACTCCTTTCCCCTCCATTCCCAGCGTCCCCCAAAAAAGGGGGGGGGAGAGAGAGAGAGAGAGAGAGAGCGTGTGAGCCCAAGTCTTTGTTTTAAATAGTGAAGAAGGGCCATGAGAGCTCTAAGCTTAAGCTCACTGAAGGTTGTGGCTTCCTTGTTACCTGGATTTATACATTCAGTAAGAAATCTGTGTAGGGATACAGACTCATTATTTATGTACTTAATGAGTTAAATGTGGAGCCCCCTGCTTTAGAGATTGTCCTGGTGCTCCTTTATGACAGTAGAACTCTGCTGTCAAGATTCTCACAGATTCTTGATCCTTTAGGAGTCTAGATGCAACACATTTCTGTAAATGGTGTATTTATAATTGATGGCTTTGTGGTCAGCAAAGGACTGTCTTGACGGTTTTTGTGGTGCATAAGAAAGCTGCTATTTTATTTTTATTTATTTGTTTTTTTACACACAGAATTTTATTGTTCTTTGTTTTTAAGTGAGGCAATCAGGGTTAAGTGACTTGCCCAAGGTCACACAGCTAGTACATGTCAATTGTTTGGTCTGAGGCCGGATTTGAACTCAGGTCCTCCTGATTTCAGGACCGGTGCTCTATCCACTGCTCCACCTAGCTGCCCAAGCTGCTCTTTTAAAGCACCTGATTGTGTAGTATGTTGAAGCCAGAATCAACAGATTTTAGGCTACTTTTTAATATTTGTGTTAAGACAAACACAAATTTTTTAAATGTTTTAATCTTACAAAAGAAGCCAAAGATAAAGTGATAATCAATTTTATATTTTTAGGAATAAACATTGAGAGAGCTGTCTCAGATATTTGTAGACCTGTAGTAGGCAAAGGCAGGAAACTGCTAGAACACTATAATGAATGGGTAAATTTGAGTGGTGTTTGGAATTGGTTGAGGAAATGCTGTTTTTCTTTGTTGACACGGCATGGAGATCAGTAAAGGGGCATAGAAAAATGGCTTTGGAGTTATTCTAGATAATTTTTATCTTTCTTTTGTTGTATGAGGATGAATTATTTGTATCACATTACCTCCCATCATGACTGTGAATAACTGAGTTGACAATATCAATATAATATTTTTAATAATTTATTTTAGGATGGAAGAGCAGCATCAGCTGTTGTTGTTTGCTCCTTTTTATGTTTCTGTCGTCTTTTCACCACTGCTGAGGCTGCAGTTTATATGTTTAGTATGAAACGCTGTCCACCTGGCATCTGGCCATCTCATAAAAGGTACAGTTCAACTTTGCTTCATTGTTGGGTTGCTTCAGTGCTTGGGGTAAAAAAAATGCTCATTAGATCCTAGGACTTAGTCATAACATGTCTTTAAGATGAATGTAAAATGTTTGTCTGATGCACCTAATTATAATCAGTCCGGTGGTGATTTGGCATTAATGTGCTTTATTCTAAATGTGTATTTAAAATCTAGAAAATAATAATTTGAGAATTAAGTTCCAAAAGTCCATGACTAGTTTTGTTTCAGAGTGTCATTCTTTCTTGAATGTGAAGTCATTAGGCTAATCAGATAAAAAGAAGCTCAGCTGGCCACATACGTACAGACTTATGATATAGACTATTATATGTTCAACTTCTACTTTGTATAAGTAGTCCCGTCGAGTAGGAGTTTGTAGTGGTGGTGACCAAGACAGCAAAAGTTTTGTGAGAAGCTAGTTATTTATTAATTCACTCACCACCCCTTATCATTCCTGGGGGTTCTCACACTTGCAGTTCCATAGCCATTTTCACCAGTCTTGATCAGATCTCTTTGATTGGAAGTGATTATGTGTGTCTTTAATTCTCAAGGTCACTGGTGAAAATGTTAAATAGAAAAGTCTCCCCTTTTTTGGGCTAGGCAGTGGGGTTAAGTGACTGGCCCAGTGTCACACAGCTACTAAGTGTCAAGTGTCTGAGGTCAAATTTGTTCTCAGGTCCTCCTGACTCCAGGGCTGGTGCTCTATCCACTGTGCCACCTAGCTGCCTCAGAGAAGTCTCTTGACCTTTGTGGGACATGATACTTGTTTATCCCTCCATATGTGAATGACCTTCTCGCCTGTTGGGTGTTCGCCCACGGATTGATCATTCTATCCCATTCTGAAATTTGGGGTTGTGGGAACTTTAGTAGGTCTTAAATTTCATGCCTTGGTTGCGTGAGTCACTCTAACACTTCCATCTCTGTAGCCCTGATCGCTTTTCTGAGCTCTAGACCTACATCTCCGCCTGCCTAGAGAGCATCTCTCCTGTTATGTTCTACTGGCACCTTAGGCTCAATCTGAAGGAGAGCTCATCATCTTTTCCCTAAACCTGCTCTTCTTCCTGACTTCAGTGTTTCAGTCTGTGGTAATATTTTTTACTGTCTTCCGTATTTATAACACTGGATACTTTCTTTTAGTCATGCTTCTTCACTTATTATCTCCTGTTACCATTACCAAAGTCTACTGCTTCCACCTCTGCAACTTCTCTTCCTTATATCATGGGATCATAGACTGAAATGAGGTCATCTAGTCCAGTGGTGGTCAGACCAATAGAAACAGATTTCTGTGAGCACATATTGATTTAGAAAACCACAAATTGACATCATCTCTGTTTTATTGTATTTTAATTTATTTTGTTAAATATTTCCCAATTAACCTTTTAATCTGATTTGGCTAGACTTGTAGGCCCCACAGGGTCTGCCTGTGTGTTTGACACCTCTGATCTAGTCCAATCCCTTCATTCTCCAGATGAGGAAACTGTAGCTCAGAATGTTGAAGTGATTTGCCAAAGTTCCCACTGACAACATATCCGGAGTTGAAACCCACATCCTCTGACTCCAAATCTAGGTCTCTCCTATGCAGCCTGGCTCCATCACTGTATTCAGACAGCTCTTGCCAAAGATACCGATGGCTTCCTAATAAAATCCAATGGCCTTTCTTGTCTCTTATTTGGAATTTGCATCCCCCCTAGTGCCTGACATATGGCTGTGAATATAGACACATGATACATATGCTTATATCTTGTCTAATCTTTTTCCTTAGATTGATCTAGACTTTGAATGTTGAATATGGATAAAAAAAAGTGCTTAGAGGTATTGAATAGGCTGCTGTGAATTATTTATAGCACCTTTCTGAGTTGGCTATATGAATAATTAGAAATGGATAATTATCAGAACCTTTTTCCCAGTGCAGTTTAAATTCAACTCAGCAAATAAATGCTAAGCACTTATGGTGTTCTGGGTATATGGAAATGAAACAGTGCACAGTTCAGGTCCTCCAGGAACTTAGAGCTTTAGGGGACTAGGGGTGCAGAATGGAGAGGTTAGAAGAAATACCCAGATCATTGAAATAGGGTTCTGGTATGATTTGGAGAGGTCCAAATAAATGTTTAGAGAGATTCAGAAAGAGAGAGAGACATCACTTACAAGTTGGGGCATTAGGAAAAACTTTATACTGGTGGTGATACTTGAACTGAGCCTTGAAGGAATAAGACTGTTTACGGGTGTATGTGTGGTGGGGTACAGGGATGGGGGCAGTGGAGTTAGTACCTTCCCTATAACAACCCTGTGAAATAGGCAGGACTAGTATATTTCTGTTTTACAGGAACTAAGGTCCAGATAAATTCTAAAAATTATTAAAAAATGTTTGCTAGTACTTGGAAAAACATGACTCCTTTCTCCCTCTTCCTCCCCATTCCACCTGCAAGAATATATGTACGTATTTGGGCAGGAGGTATGGAAGAGAGAAAGCAAGAAGGGGCAGGGGTCCTTTGGAGCTAAGGCATGAGCTGGAGGTAGAATCTTGAACTAACATTCTTGAATTTTAGTATAGCATTAATTAAAGCCAAAAGGACTTTTGAAAATCCAGTTTTAAAAAGTACTGTACTTATTAAGTGTAATTTTAAGGGATGATTATTAATTTGTATCCATCCTGCCATTATGATTAATAGTGAGCCCTGGAATTTCTGACATGAATAGTCATGATAGCAGCTGGATCAGAGGGTATAATACGCTACTACTGTCCTTACTTCCACACCCTCCTCCTTACCCCAGTCACACCATTTTTTCATTTTGCCTGTCTTTGTTTAGGGGCATGTTAGCTTAGTATTTAAAATGTGCTGTAATATATCCATGTCTGAGCCTTAATGACAGGCTAAGAATTATAAAATTGAAATATGCCATCTAGTCCAATGAATGCCCAAATCCTGAATCCCATCTACTAGATCCCAGACAAGTGGTTGCCTAATCTCTGGAGGAGAGTTTAAGAGATTAGTTGCTGTAACCCTTCCTTTGAGGCAGGCTGATTACTAAACTGTGGTATGAACTTTGGAGGAGATTTCTGGGTATAAACATTCCATAGCCTCCTGCAGAAGCTCCTTAGTTTGCTCAGCCTTTGAAGTCAAGAAGTTTTTCCTTTAACCTAGCTGGATTTCCCATTGCTGTTTCAGCAATGTTGTATGGCTACACTCTTTTATTCATTTTTCTTGGAGCTGAAGAAAAAAATTAGCTTCTTACCAGCAGCTTTTTTAAAAATGCTGATAATATCAAGACTTCACTTGGTTTACTAAAAAGTCCCTTATCTTTAGAAACCCTATATTCCTGGAAGCTGTATGGTCTAGTGGAAAGAACCTGGGCTCAAACCCCTGCCTTACTTACTTGTGTGACCTTGAGAAAATAATTTACCTCAGTTTCCTTGTCTATAAAATTTGGAAGATGGACTAGATGGCCTCTTGATCATCTTCTAACTTTAGGTTTATTATTCTGTTGCTTTGTAATTATTTTGTTGACTTTCTGCAGTTTTTCTACGTCATTTTAGTTTTATTTATTTTATATTTAATCCCTTTTGCAGTAAATGAACTTGTTCATCCAAGCGTTAACTAAAAAGATTGCCAGCTATAACTTCTCTTTCTCCTTGTGATCGTACAGACCTGTTTATTAAAATAATTGCAGTCAATTCAACTTCTTTGAAAGATCCATGATCTCTTTGATATGGGCAGTCCCCCATTGGTGCAGATCACAGCTCATGCATGCTGGAGATACAAAGAAAGGCAAAAAATCGAACGAATCTGTGCCTTTCAGGAATTAATGAGGGAGACAACAAACTAACAAATATATACGAATGAGTGATGTACAAGAAATAGGAAATAATTCAACAGAAGGAAGGTGCTGGAATTAAGAGGGATTGGGGAAGGCTTCCTGTAGATGGTGGGATTGTAGCTGGGATTTGAACACCTCCAAGGAAGCCAAGGGGTAGAGATGAGGAAGGAGAGTATTCTAGACCTGGGGATAGCCACAGAAAATGCCTGGAGCTGAGAGATGGAGTTTTGTTCATGGAACAACCCAGAGGCCAGTGTCTTTGGATCAGATAGTATTGAGGAGGGGAATTAAGATGTAAGAAGACTGGAAAAGTTGGGGAAGAGTGTATGGCTATGTTAAGAAGGGCTTTGAACGCCAAGCAGGATTTTGTATTTGATCCTGGAGGTGAGTAAGAACTTCTGGAATTTATTGAGTAGGGGATGACATTGTCAGACCTGTACTTTAGGAAAAGCACTTTGGTGGCTGAATGGAGGGTAGATTGGAGTGGGCAGAGCCATGAAGCAGGTAGATCCACTGGCCTATTATAGTAGTCTGGGTGTGAGGTGAGAAGAGCCTGGACCAAGGTGGTGACAGTGTCAGAGGAGAGAAAGGAAGGTATTTGAGAGATAATGTAAAGGGAAATTGATAGGCCTTGGCAGATTGAATATCAAGGAAGAAGGAGAGAGCTGGCTTCAGAGCTTGGAAGACATGGGTTTAAGCCCTGCCTCTGGCAGATACTGGGTAGGTGACCCTGGGCAAGTGACTTGAAGTCTCAGTGCTCTAGGCAGCTTTTTAAGACTATGAGTTGGAGAGAAGTTAACTGATTTATGTTAGAAGAGGAAGTTTTTCATCAGGAGCTCCTCACTCCAACTGAATCAGGGGTGCCGTCACTATCCCTGTATGTCTTGGAACCAGTGGAACCGTTGCCCCATTTTTAGATGTGTTCTAGCTTTCTCTCTTCCTAATCAGTTCTGGCCCTCCCCGTTGGTCCATCTGTACTGTGTGTCCAGAATACGAATGCACACATTCCACGTTCTTCACAAAATAGGGAGTATGAAACTATATACCTACATACAACTTTTCCAGATTGTTACTGCTGATTTTGATGAAAATAACCAGTATTTATCTATCACCTTAAGGTTTGCCAAGTGCTTTCTATATATTCTCTCATTTGATCACAGCTGCCGTGAGGTAGGTAGTATTAGTGTCTCCATTTTACAGGTGAAGAAGCCGACCCTGGGAGATTAAATGATGTGTTGAGTCACACAGCTAGTGTCTGAGACAGGATTCAAACCTATGTCTTTCTGGCTCCAAGTTAGTGGATCAGAATATCATCGGAGACAGAATGAGAAGCCCTATCGAACAGAAATACTAATGTCTTAACTTCCCTTTAATCTAGGACAATATTTCCAGGTGATTTAATTAGCCTGATAAACCTCATTCTTCACAAAATATTTCTAATTTATGTATAGCCAAGGGAGGTCTCTCTCCTGAACTCCTGTAGCTCTCATTATCTTTGTTTCTTTTGTATTATTACATATTAGCCTTTTGTTATTAGATAATTCTTCATATGTATTTGTGTTATTTTCCTAACTAGACTGTGAGCTCCTACAGGACAGGGACCATATTAACTACATCCCCCATAGCATCAAGGCTGTAATAACTCCTTAGTGAATGTTGGTTGATTGATGACCACAGCTTGTCAGTTAAGTTTCACTTCTCTTAGCTGTTATAGGTTAAAGATTGGAAAACACCTCTAGACTGCAAAGAGCCAGTGTGAAAGCATCCTCTCTTAATCTTTATGTCTCTTTCTCTTCCCCTAGTCAGTCTGTCTGTCTGTCTGTGTGCCTGTGTCTCCTCCAACTCACCTCCCATTTCGTAGGACAGTGATTGCCCATCTAGGACTAACATTGTCTCTGGTAGTGGAGTTGGTTTTGTTAACTCATAGGCTGTGTTTCTGAATCAAGAATGATGCTGTATTTGGGGTTTTTTCTCCCATGTTTGAAATGATGACATTGGAACTTTATTCTTGAAGTAATTGCTTTAATGAATATGCATGTAATTTGAGCTAAATGACTATGTTGTAGTGAGCAGTCACCTTGCTCTATAAACTTTATATCCCTGGTCCACCAAGTTGGCTCTCTGTTTATTTTTCTTTGGTTTTATAGGTATATAGAGTACATGTGTGATATGATGGCAGAAGAGCCCATTATCCCTCATAGTAAACCAATCCTTATTAAAGCAGTCATGATGACCCCAGTGCCCCTGTTCAGCAAGCAGAGAAATGGCTGCAGACCCTTTTGTGAAGTCTATGTGGGAGATGAACGAGTGACCACTACCTCTCAGGAGTATGATAAAATGAAGTAAGTTCAGAATAGTACATCTCGTACTTTGTTAACATTTGTGTATTGGTAATTCTGGGAGGAAGATCTGCAGTTTGTTATTAGAATTGTGTCTGATACTCATTGAGCATTTGTAAGATGTAGAAGTATAGTATATCTGAATAAACAAAACCCCTTGGGATTTGATTACAGAGGGTGTAGTTATGCAGGGTGAAATGAAATTAGAAATTAGTCAGGGGTTAGGAAATTCAGAGTCTGCAGACAATTGCTATTTTTATAGTCATTCATCCATATTGACTACTTAAACTTTGTGGAAAGCAACTTCTTTGTAGAAAAAAAAATATTTCTGGAAAATGTTCTCCCTGAAAGATCAAAATTCATCAGTTAAGAAAATTTGTGATTTTATGAATTTTACATTTTAGAAAAATCTTAATATCTTTAAGGAAATGCATTTCTCATGTCTTTGAGTATGATTTTTTTAGTTAGACTATAAATTTGGCTTCAAGATGGGGATCCTAAGTATGGCAAGTATTTATTTTTATATAAAATAAACTAATGTAAACAATTCATTTATATTTCTATTATTTAGGGATTTTAAAATTGAGGATGGAAAAGCAGTAATTCCATTGGGCATAACAGTCCAAGGTGATGTACTCATAGTAATTTATCATGCAAGATCAACGCTAGGAGGAAGATTGCAAGCTAAGGTAATAATGTAGGAGACCTTCTCTTTTACTACTTGTCATGTGTTGGTCACTTACTTTTTCTGTCGTATTTATTAGCAGTGTCTAGCTCTTCTAAGAAAATTTAATTGTATCACATGAGTTCTGAATACCTGTGCTGTTAGACATTGCTATCAGTTGTCATTCAGTCTTGTTCAACTCTTCGTGACCCCTTTTGTGGTTTTCTTGGCAAAGATACTGGAGTGGTTTGCTCCTTCTGCAGCTTATTTTACAGAAGAGGAAGCTGAAGCAAATAGAGTTAAGGGTTTGCCCAGGGTCACACAGCTCCTAAGTGTCTGAGGCCAGAATTTAAATTCAGGAAGATGAGTCTTTCAGACTCTAGACCCAACACTCTATCCAATGTGCCAGACGTTATTTAAAG